AAAAAAAAAAAAAAAAAAAAATTGACGCTTCCTCCCTTTTATCGATTCTCGTCGTCGACGACCCCTCCTGCCAAGATGTAACAATCATTATTAAACGAAGCACAGCTCCGTAGAAAACAGCGTTATATATATCACATAATTTCAGGCTACCATATTTCTACGTCATTTTCTTCGTACTCGTTCTTCCCGAAGTCGTCTTACAACTAGTATGTGACAGTATTATTAAGTCGCCTAAACGGTAATCACTCGAAACATTTGGTCAGTATCTATAATTTCCGACTTCCTATTCGGCCGTTTTATCGTGATTAATGACGATTAAATTTCTATCGATTTTTCATCTTCCAAACACGAGACTAAAACATTATAATTATTTAAATTCCTCTTCAATATTTCAAATTAAATTTTTATCAAATTATGTACAGAGCATTTTAACAAAATAGTATACGATTTGTATAACTTTGTATTAATAATTAAAATCGAAACAAGATTGAGTTTTCCTACTTTTATCTTATTACTGGCGCCACCTGATATTAATTCGAGAAAGATGATATTTACCGTCCTCGTAAGGTAAAGTCACTTTACGAAGATGAATCGAAGAAAGAAATCAAAGATGAAAATCTCAATTATCAATTCACGTTAATCACGATGAAATCAGCCACAGTTTAATCGAAACGCGCGATTTCGATCGAATTATTTTACAGAGGATCTCGCGCGTTTACCAAAGGGAGCAAGAAAAAGCGAAGGAGAGAGGAGCCATTGGCTCGTGCTTAAAACCGTATCTTCTATCCTCGTCGAGATTACCTCAACATACGATTGAACGACAGTGCGAGTTTCTTTTTGCTGATTCTTTGCTCGATGCCATGGACCATTATCTTGTTCTCCTTTTCTTTACATTCAATCGAGCGTGAAGTTCAAATAAATTTTTCAGGCTCCTCTAAATCTGCCAATATTCCACGACCTAAGATTTCGATCGATTAACCAGTCGTTCGATCTATCGATGAATCGATTTTTCTAGTCATAAGAGACGAAAAGTTAACTACTAGCTACCAGCGAAACGATATTACTAAGATTTCATTATTACTTATTGTCCTTTTTCAAGCAATTTGATCACTTTCTTATCGAAAAATTCTCAAGAATACGTCGCCTTGTAATCACGGTACAAATAATAATCTATTCCGAAGTGTCTAAGTCAGTGCTGTCTTAACCTAAATTAAAAAATGAAACGAAAAAATACTAACAAAAAACATCAACACAATTATTAAAAAAATCGAAATCAACTTAAAAAGTTGCATAGCAGCACGAAATATTTCAACTACAATTTGTTTCAACTATCCATCGTACATAACCTAAAAAAAATCTACAAACAAATATTACTTTCACAAACAGCATTGATCTATTTCCACAAAATATTTACAAGCATTTATCTCCAAGTCTTCTCATCCATCATCTAATTTCCATCATTTTTCAGAATCCAACAAGAATCCTAAACCGAATTTACGAACACTTAATAAATTTCTTTCTGTGGATAAATAAAGAAGTGCAAGAATGGTCTAGGTCATCGAGCAGCGAACCATCTTTGAGAACAGAGTCTAGGTCTCCTATAAAGTATATCAGAGCAGTTCTGCACGTTACGTAGAGGTGAACGTCGTCGTGAAGTCGGTACGTGTTTCTCCTTCAAGAGGAGGCGAAATGGGACGCGACGACGCCACGACGAGCGACGAATGGGACGACCGTGGGTGATCGTCACACGGTGGTCACCCGGTCGACCTCGACGTACCGCACAGAATTGTCGCTGTGTCAGCAAATCACTTCCTTTCCATCGATGATCGCCGTCTCGGAGGAAATGCTCTTTAGCCTATGCTGCGATATCGACCGATTCGTCCGTTGCCTACAGATTCGCCAAATCACGAAGATGATGACGGCGAGAATCGTGATGATGGCGAGAAGCCCAAGGCCCAAGTGGAGGGGAGGCAATTGCAGGAGAACAGAACAATGAGTCAGAGCTTCGTCATATCCTGATGGACAATGAGAGATTCCGTCGCACCACAGAGAAGCATTTATGCATGCATCCAGCTCTGGACACCGCTGCTCGCAGTCACGTGGCATTTGTAACCCTGCTGTCGATGTTACCGTTGGTCTGTAAGAAGATTTTCAAAAAATGAATTAAGAAATGCGCCTTAAAAGTTATTAGAAATAAGAATTTATTTCGAGTTAAATAGAATTAATTTTTTCAATGAAATTAATTTATGTTTTAGGTTATAAAAATTCAAGCGAAAGAAAAATTGAATAAATTGTGAATTGAAAAACTTTCTAAGAGGATTAAGAAATTTGAACATCGTTTTATCACGGGAAATGCATCAGATTAGATAGTCAGATACGAAATAAGAATTTATATTAGATGAAAGATTTAGATTGTACTAAGTGAAGGAAAAGGAATCGAATAAATTTTAGAATTTACCTTCTAGTGAGCTCGAGCCAGGTGACCGTGTACGTATCTGGTTCCTTGATAATAAACTCGATGGCTATAGTCCTGATGGGGTCCTGACCCGGCACCAGAATCATGGCATTGCTGCTGACGGCCCAGCCGTCGCTGAAAACTTCGACCACGTGGTGTCTAGACTCCGCAGGTGGTTTCGGGCACACCGACACGTGGATCGTGCCACCGGTATGTACCACGATCCGATTCTTTGTCGCGCACTTGCTCGTATTCGACATTATTATCCCATGCATTTTTACATACAGGTATTGATTCGGCCCAGGATCTATCAGCCATGGATGCTTCTCACAATTTTTCTGAAGGTAAGATCAATCAAATATCTTACTCAAAATGTAATGATTTCTCACAAATTTTCTCAACTTTCAAGATCAACGAGAGCTTCTTCATTCATCATAAATCAAAGAGTCTCACCTCATCCTCGTCGACTATTGGAGCTTTGTATTTGATCTCTCCGGAAGGCCCCCTCACTCTTCTCTTCTGCAAGCAAGGAATCGTCTTCACGAATTCCCATATACCTTCGAAGAACAGATTATTGTAATCGTCCAACGCATCCATAGATCTGACGGTGAAGTGCACCTCGACGATGTTCGAGGTCGATTTGATGTTGATCGGCAGTGATCGATTGGAACACAGGCAGTCTCGTTGCACGGGCGGCGCGTTCGGCCATGGAAGATCGAGCACCTGTGGATGTCGAGCCGTGATTCGGTCCCGCGGGTCGCTTGCCATTTAATTAGCCGTCAGATTATATTATAATTGCGAGGGGACAAACATGACGGCCGAATATCGAGAGCGTAAGCGTTCCTAATTGCGCTTTAAATTCGCGAGCTGGCGACCGTCGTAAATTCTGGAATCGATAACGAACTTGGAACGAATAATGGTAACCACCACCGTTTCGGATCGGAAATTTTAGATTTATTCGGCTTTTGCCCACCGCTGCCACTCCGATTACCGTTTACACGCCGAATTTCTGATAAAGTTTTAATGAAAACGCGCCCTCGTTAATTACGACCTTTCATCTTTCGTTCTCGTGAGTTGGGAATTGTGTCGATAGAGGTCCTCTCGATCGCCATCGGGAAACTTTAAATTAAAATCGTTGCTCATTTGTGATTGGTGTTCGAATCTTATTTGCGATTCTATTGGTGGGCTTTTAAAGATTTATCGTTCGACTTTTTCATGTCGTTTTTTTATGATTTTAAAGAGTATGGATATTTTATGCGTTGTGTTATTCTTTTTTCTTTTGTTTAGTGTTAACAAATATTTGAATATTTATATTAAACGTGAAATTCGATAGATAATTATGATATTGTGATTAGGATAGTTAAGGAATTAGAAATGGATGAGAAATTTTTGAAATTTTATTTAAAAAATACGCCTAAATGTGAATGTGTTTTTCTTCTCACATCGGTATTCGATTCATTTCTACACAATGTCTAGAAGAGATTCTTGTTACTGAAGCAAATTTAAATCGGTATACCGATTGAAATCGAAGTGTAGCAATATTGAAATAATTGTTTCGATCTCTCTTAATTAATTTTTAAACAAAGCTCTATCGTTCTCGATTATCCGAACAACACCGACTTGCCAGTTGCCGCACATTTGCTCGCCGACGTTAACAACTCTATTCACGAGAGATGAATGGGGGCCCCTCTAGCGATCTCGTGTCGTGCAAATATAAAACGGAGCAATACCTATTCAAACTTCGTTTCGAAGATTAATTGGAACACGTGCCGCGTTATTATCGCTGAACAGATCGAGGAAAGAAAATATTTGAACGGTTCCGCGCTTTCAATGGCCAATTGTTGAAAACATCAAAAATTGCAAACTATCTGAACCAAAGATCACCTCGACAGACGTTACATACATGAATATAATCAAAGCAAAAATTTTTTCTCTAAAATTCATTCGCAAAATATAAAAGGTATGAAAAAAATATTTTCATAAAATCGATATAGTAAGTACGAATTTTTAATATTAATCCAATTTACAGGTAAATAAAATTGAACGAAACGATGAGACTAACCTTCACGAAGAAGTTCTCCGATCCAACGCAGAGGAGCCGATTAAAGTCTGGGCTGGAGACGCTGCGGCACGTCCGGTTCCCGTTCAAAAGCTTGTTGAACCGCAGCTTCACGATCTCGTCGTGCTCGCCCTCGAATCGATACACGCAGCTGGAAAATCCGTTGTAGCCTGTACTAATGGAATTTACATGGTCGGCCGGCCACGCAAAGGAAATCGCATCCTCGATCCTGATACCACAGGAGAGATTACGAGGAGGAGCAGATCAACCGTGGTCAATGATGTTTCTCGTTCGTTAACCGAGAAAACCGATCGTCCTTGTGGTAGTCTTTAAGAGAGAAGGGAAAAGAAAGGAGAGAAAGAAGAGATTGAAGAAATAAAGGAATAAATGGACGGAGAAATTAAGAAGGGGAACGAAGAAAAAATTGGAAATAGTAAATGAACAGAGAAATAGGAATTTTAATTTGAATCAAAAATCTTATTTTCTTTTAATGATTTATAGTATGATGATTAATTATAAATTGTGAATAGAAACGTATCAGGATCAATTCATCATGTAGTAGATATATAGAATTCTATTTGAATGGTAAAGGGAATGGGATGAAGAAAAATGGAGAAATGGAAAGATGGGGAAATGAAGAATAGAAATTTTAATCAATTTTTCTTGGCCTCTGTTATATTTCATTCCTCTTTCGCACGGCGTGTAATTACAATTGTGAACAAAGTAAACGAGTATCCGTCACGCAGCAGCTATGGAATTCTATTTGAACGGTAAACAAATGATAAATGAACAACGATCGACGTGAAAAAGCGAATTGTATATCGTTGATATACTGATCAGAGTGCACTCCTTTCGAGGAAGATGTTACTTCTCTCGAAAATGAAAAGGTGTAAAAATCCATTTTATGATCTCTGATCTAAAGAGTGGTTTAATGGACGGCCAAGAAAAGTTTGATTGGGATTGGATCGATTGAGGAGTTGTTCACGCGAGGGTTGAAACGGAGTAAGAGTTGAATTCGGTGTCAGTGGAACTTTAGGTGAGGTTTGACTTTCCTTTCTGTGGATTTTGTAGGTTGAAGTTTCGAAAAAGAGAGAAAGAGAGAGAGAGAGAGTTGTCAAAGTTGGAAGGATAAACAGAGGGAAATTTGTAATAGGGATGGGTGGGTGGTTGGGTAAAGGTCTCTTGGATTTGTTTGTAGTTGAGCACGAGAAATCTGAAAGCTTGGAAAACGAAGAAGGGGAAGTTTTCGATGAGGGAATAATGATTTTTTTTTTTAAGATTCGCTTTGGAGAGAGGGGAATAATAGTGAGATAAGGGAAAAAGATTTGAAAGAGAAAAATGCTCGTGATAAACGAATAGCTTTGATAATACTTTTCCAATCTTAAGTTGGTGAAAGTTTTTACTTTGTTAAACTCATAACTATGAAAAGAAAAAGATTTTAAAGGAGGAGGAATTCGTGACAAATTCACGTTACTGTATAGAATGTCTGATTTTAACATTTTTCTCAGTATTATTTATTTGTAATTCAGATAAAAGTTGAATGGTGTCAAAAAATGCATAATCTTTATTCTTAATTCTTTCTGCATAAAGATGAAGATCAATCTTTTTTTCCTGTTTCTTTTTTTTTTAATACTTTCTATAAATGCCTAAAAATTCTTAATAAATATTTCAATTTGAATATTTTTGTAAAATTTATTCCATGAAAAATCATAAAATTCAACTTTTATTTGAAATGTTATTCATTGCAAATAATAATATTAAAAAGATCAAGATGATCAAAATCACGTGATACAGTCTATTCCACGCTTTCTTTATTGTTAAAAATCTGAATATTAAAAAAAAAAGAAAATACACGGTCAGAAAAAAATTTCGCAACAATGTCTGAAGGCTTTCTAAGAGAATAGAAGACTCTTCACATCCTCCTCTTCCTCTTTTTTCTTCAGCCTCGATCTCGAAGGGGGTCGAGGAACTCGATGACAGAGGAGAAGA